CATTAAAAAATAACAATATTTGTCACAATAAGTATTTTTATATGAATATTTAACAATTAAAGATAAGTGACTAAGAAAACAAACATATATAATAAAAAACTAACATATAAAATAAGAAACAAACATATAAAATAAGAAACTAACATATAAAATAATAAACAAACATATAAAATAGTAGACTAGCATATAAAATAATAAAGTAACATATAAAATAACAAACTAACATATAAAATTGTAAACCAACATATAAAATTATAATATAGAAAATGTATCAACCTAACTACAATATATTAAAAATATCGAATAAATTTTAATATTAAAGATATCGTAATAAATTTAAAGATGTTAAGCAATTAAAAAGAAAGATACTTTAATTAATATTGTTCAATTTACAGTCATCGTCATGGAGGTTCCGCTTGTGCATCCCGGACCTGTATCGCTAGAGCTACTGTTGCTACAGGCTGAGCATAGGTCTTCATACATATGGGATGTGTAGTGTTTGTCCCAGACATTCCGCGCCAGACGTATAGACGACATGTGGGAGTTCATTAGGGCCCACCCACTCCATTCCCATATAGTTAGACGCCTTCAGGATATGAGTTTCTACAGGATCATAGAGATAGGCCGATTGCAGTTCGACACGGCTATGATAGGTGGTGGCGACTGGAGACGCACACGTTTCATCTACCCATCGGCGAGACAACCATCATGCTTGAGGACGTGGAGGTTCTTTTCGGGCTGCCAGTTGATGGGCTGCTTGTAGCTTACCCGCATGCTCTTAGAGACTATAGGGGATTGCATTACCTGCATATGTTGCAACGACTCACCGGATTCCAGCCAGCGGAGGAGACGACATTGAGTGGAACCACTCGTTTGTAGCTAACGCCCGTCCGGCAGCATCTGGAGGCGATGGACGCGGAGATTACAGATGATTTACCACCGGAGGTTATCGATCGACACACGAGATTGGTGGTGCTGCTGATGTTTGGTGGTGTACTATTCCCGAATACTTCGGGAAACCTATTCAGCTTGAGATTTCTACATCATCTTGAGCGGCTAAATGATTTACTTGGTTATAGCTGGGGTGCAACTATTCTAGGTTACCTGTAAAGGCAGATATGCCGGGCATCCATGGGCACCCAGAGAGACGTTGTCGGATTTTTACTGCTGCTGCAGGTGAAAACATAGTCAATTCTTTTTATGATTATAACATACATAGGGTGAGAATACCTTAAATTTTACGTCCACAATCTATATTAGGTTTGGGCCTGGGAGCGGTTCCTGTAGTTCCAACCACCTCTACCATCCATCGCTTTGGATGCACCACCTCCATCGTTTCTCCCTTTAGCTTGGAGGTGGGTTGATGAGCGAGGATACGAACGCGAGATCGAGACTCGACATTATCTCCCCTATTACAGGGATTTGTTGGATTTGCTTGAAGACGCGTAGGTACATGTATTCTTAAGTTTACTTGGCCTGACTTTATATGTGTTGTGTTTACTCATGATTCCTGTGTTTGATTAATAGTTCTTATGGAGGCCATACAACGACGCGCTCATAGCTGGTTTGCCCGATTATTGCTCCCGCGGCCGAGCTATGTGGAGCTCTTCTGTCCCACTGATATGTCTTGATATTGTCGAGCATCATGCCACCGAGCGAGTCCTTCGCCAGTTTGGTCAACCACAGCTTGTACTTATTCCGCCTGTTTGGCTTAGGACACATTACCAATGGGATGATCGTTCCAGGGTTGACTAGACATACTTGGACTCGCTAGAGGCACAGATTGAGGTTTGGGACTAGTGGCATGACCTGATTCATCCACCCCTGCACCTGAGCATACGGATGGCGAGCAAGCATGAGTATATGGGCTGATATCGCAATGTTACCCGACTTCATGTCGGGAATCCCGTTCATTGCGCTGGTGGTCGATACATTCCAAACGCTGGGAGGCATGAGTGTGATGACCCAATATGTCATCTTTAATTTTAAATATTATTTTTGTGTTCTAAAACTCCAAATAGCACCATTCAGCTTTCCTCGACTTGCGTGCGCAGACCGTATATTTTTTCGAAAAGCTTTTATGTGAAAAATTGATTGAAAAAATGAGAAATAATGCTTTAAAACTCAACTGAGTTAACTTCGGTCAACAATTTTAGCAAACGAATCGATATTCTGACGGTCCCGGTGGATCCATATCATGATTTGGAACTTGGATGTATGACCAGAATCAAATTTGGAAGTCCCTAGCTTGAGTTATCGCCATTTGTTGAAAAATTTGAAGTTTGAAAGCTTATAGATTCTAAAGTTTGACTACAAATTGACTTTTATTGATATCGGGGTCGGAATCCAGTTCTAAATATTTTCATAGGTTCGTTATGACATTTATGACTTATGTGCAAAATTTGAGGTCAATAGGACTTGATTTGATAGGTTTCAGAATCGAATGTAGAAGTTAAAAATTCTTAAGTTCCTTAAGCTTGAATTGGGGTATGATTCATGGTTTTAGCGTTGTTTGATGTGATTTGAGGTTTCGACTAAGTTCGTATGATGTTTTAGGACTTATTGGTGTATTTGGTTGAGGTCCCGGGGGCCTCGGTGGATTCTGGATGGTTAACATATCAAAAGTTGGACTTAAGGAAAATTTGAAATTTTGGCCTTTTGGTGTAATCGCACCTGCGGATTTTAGACCGCAGATGCGAGTTCGCAGAAGCGAGCCAGGCCTCTCAGAAGCGGAAAGTGCGTCGCAGAAGCGCGAGCGCAGAAGCGGCGCAATGGTCTCAGATATGGCCTGGGCTAAAGGGGCCTTGGACCGCAGAAGTGGACGCTTCTTCGCATAAGCGAATCCGCAGAAGTGACCTCCACCCTCGCATCTGCGAGACCGCAGATGCGGCCAAGTGCATAGCAGATGCGAAAACACTGACAGTGTTAAAAATAGAGGGGTTCCGAGATTTTTCTCACTTTTGGACATTTCAAGTACGGGTTGGGGCAATATTTGAGCAAGAATTCACGGAAAAACTTGAGGTAAGTCACTTGTGATCATTTTTAGTCAATAAATATTGAATTATCATCGATTATTCCGACTAGACTACGTGTTTTTGAGGTGAAATTCGAGGAGTTAGGCCTAGGGATTTGAAAATAAGATTTGGGGATTTGAAGGTCGAGTTGATGTCAGAATTTGGTAAAATTTATATGGTTGGACTCGTGGTTGAATGGGCGTTCATATTTTATAACTTTTTTCGGGTTCCGAGATGTGGGCCCCATGAGCGATTTTTGAGTTAAATTTTTAATTTTGATTGGAAAGTTTAGTATTTTCATATAGAATTAGTTTCTATAATTCGTATGAGTATATTGAATTGTTTGTGACCAGATTTGAGTTATTCGGACAACAATTCGCGAGGCAAAGGTTTATTGGAATCTTGAGTTGGTTGCAAAGTGAGGTAAGTGTCGTGGTTAACCTTGACTTGAGGGAGTAGGATTTATTTGTCTATTTGATATGTGATGTAATGTGCGGGTACAACGTATATGTGAGGTGACGAGTACTTATATGTTGTGGTTGAGTCAAAGCATGCTAGAGGAATTTATTTCATTTTGAATAATTACTTATTTAATTAAGATATTCCTGTTTAAGTTTATTATTGATTATTTGATCATTATTCATGAAATTTTTATTGATTTAATTATTGTTGAATATGGTGAGAAAGAGTGTAAAAGCACGAAAGGTGATGCCGTGCCATTTTTATTATTTATACTATCATTGTCATGGTGAGAAAGAGTGTAAAATTACGAAGGGTGTTGCCGTGTCATTTTTTAGTATAAAAGCACGAAGGGTGATGCCGTGCCATTTTCAGAGAGTGTAAAAGCATGAAGGGTAGAGAGTTAAAGCACGAAGGGTGATGTCATACCAATTATTATTATTATTATTTATCTATCCAAATATGGGAGGAATGAGAGTAAAAATACGAAGGGTGGTGCCGTGCCATTTTCATATTATTAGTTGCTCATTTTATTGTTGAGGAATTAATTGGCTGCTAAGTGATACTTCTCCTGCTAAAATTATTATATCATCCCCCTTCGCATGTTCCCTCCCAAATTTATAAAGTGTTATTTATTATATTATTGTTGCTTCATATTTGTATATACTTGTACAAGTTGTTTATGTATGTGTCCTGTCATAGCCTCGTCACTACTTCATCGAGGTTAGACTCGACACTTACGAAATACATAGGGTCGGTTGTACTCACACTACACTCTGCACTTCTTGTGCAGATTTTGGAGTTGGTCCCAGCGGCGTACCATAGACTTGCTCGAATTTAGGTACCCAAAGGAGACTTGAGGTATAATTGCACAATGTTTGCAGTTCTGAAGTCCCCTTCTATCTTATCTTAGCTACTACCTCCGTTCCAGTTAAAGTGAACCTACTTTTTTTTTGGTCTGTTCCAAAAAGAATGACCCCTTTCTAAATTTGGAAATAATTTTGCTTAAACTTACAATTCTACTTTTAATGAGAAGATTTTATAACCACACAAATACTCTAGGCCCTTTTTTGAATTGTTTAGGACCACAAATTTCAAAAGTCTTCATTTTTTCTTAAACTCCGTGCCCAGTCAAACAGGTTCACATAAATTGGAACGGATGGAGTATGTATTATCTTTCAAACAACTTGAAATTTTATTCAGACCTTTATTTGTATTATTCTAGTAGCTCGTGCACTTGTGATACCAGATTCGGGGATGTATTTTGATGATTCAGTAGTTATGGTCTTCCGCACTTTATTTCAGTAATTGACTTTCGTTTAATTTAAATTGTTTAAAAATGGTTAAGATTATTCTAACATTGGCTTGCCTAGCAAGTGAAATTTTAGGCGCCATCACGGTCCCGAAGGTAGGAATTTCAGGTCGTGACAATGAGGCATTGATATGTTATTTGTTATACTTACTTATAATGTTAAATTATAATTCCGTAATTAATATTTGACATGTTATGCAGGCTATTGGATTACATCAGTTCTACCAGCTGGGACTGCAGATGCTGCAGCATATCGGCGAAGGAGCGACAACTTTGCACGAGTTTGGCCGTCAGGTTACAGATCTGGCTGACCGGACATTGAGGCGTTCCCGGGATGATGAGCTATTCGGATACGAGGCTTCTTATGTGCCGCCAGAGGACTACCATCGCTGGCCACCAGTGGATCCTGAATGTGGTAGACGTGGCAGGCGTGGCCAGAGAGGAAGGGTGTCCCACGAGGTCGAGGTGGTCGGCGAGGAAGGGGCCCCCTACAAGGGGGCGTTGAGCCACCCGTGGAGGATATTAGAGATGATCAGTCGGGTGACCACCCTGAGCCATACGATGCTCCTCATGATATGCCGTCATTCAGCCTGCAGCTGTCGCCAGAGAATTCGCAGTTGACCGTGTCAGCTTCATTGTTGATTGCGGGCACGACCATTACACAACAAGAGTGGGATCGGTATTTTCCTGATCGACCAGGGCCATCGACGGTTGCTGAGGATCGTCCAATACGAAAGGTGCATAGTGGGCGACGATTGAGTTATGGCTCATCATAGAGGGCAACTGAGGATGTTTCACATACTTCATCTACTCCAGTACACCCCGATGATCTGACAGAGCAGTGTGTTGCTACTCAGGCGCAGGTTTGTTTGTATTACTATTATTTCTATGTGTTTTTATCTCATTGATTAGTCATCAGTATCTAAAGCATTTTTATATTTTTTAAATACATCATCATAGCCCGTCACAGAGGCCACTTTGTGCGATACTGACATGCAAGAGACAAATGATTTTATTTAGGAGCCCGCCGAGACCATGGTATGACCATTAAATTTTTTTTAGCTAAAACGTACGTTAGTAATTTATATTTAATATACTAAAATATCTTATTATTTTGTAGGTTACTGCTGGACCGACAACCGCTTCTACCGAGTCTGCCAGCCTTACTGACGATCATGCTGCAGCGCATCCTCCGATAAAGAGACGATGTGATGAGGATGATCCTGATAGTGTAGCCGGGCGGGATGGATGCGTCTCAGGCCAGCGAATGCTTTAAAGCATACAGGTTGTGGGACACAATGACATATATCATTATCTGTAAATATGACATTAAATATATAATAGCAACATTATTTATGTTTTACATAATTTGCGCATGTGTTTTTATTTCTCGGGTTATTTATTAGTTTAAGTGTACAACATAAAAAAATGACAACTTAACATAATTAAAATTCGGTACAATTAATGGTAATACATGACACGTAAAACATAAATATAAAATACTACACTCAACACATCCATATTTTTGTTTAGTCACTATCGCCCATTATTCTGTGCTTCAACCACTTAAATTTCTCTTCGAACCTATTTTTTTCTTCTTCTGCCTCTTTTAGTTTCTCCTTCACTGCCGCAAGTTATTTTTGTAGTTTAAAGATCTGGAGTTCGTATTTGCCGGTCATATTCCAAACATAGTGCAAACATGATTTATAGTATTCCTGGTTAATGGGTTCATCATACCATTCTTGAAATCTACATTGATTTTCATCCTACCATTGGGGATTATAACACAACATTATTAATTAACAAGTTATAAAAAAAATATTAACTAACGTTTTTTCCAAAATAATCACTTAAAAGTTGTTGACAGATCTAGCATCTGCGTCCCAGATTGCAATTTCACCAACATGGCTTCAAAATCGCACGTTTGGCATAATAACACCTTGGTACGTCATTGCGTCCAGACATTTCGTAATGCAAGAAAAATGAAAAATTAATGGAAAGTTTTCCTATTTATTTGGTTAAGCGCAAATAATAACTAAAATGAGCTAGGCTTTTATAGGCAACAAATACACATAACGCATATTGGTAGCACACTATGTTTCGCGTGATAATGATTCTTTAGGGTACGAGATAGCTTTTCCAGAACGACAACTTTTTCAGGTCGACAAGATAATACACATAACATATATTGGTGGCATGCTAAGTTGCGCGTGATAATGATTATTTAGGGTACAATATAGCTTTTGTAATAATCCGGGCAATCGTTTTGAGTATTATAACCCTGTTCCCCCATTTACTGCTCAATTTATGCTTTACAGTTATTTTATGACTTATCAGGTTAGTTGGTTCGAGTCCGAAAGGATTTTGGAGTGAAATGAGATACTTAATCTCATAATTGAAAACTTAAGTTGGAAAAGTTGACTACGGAGATTTTGGATTTAAGAGCGTGTCAGAAAAATTATTCGGAGGTTCGTAGTGGAATTAAGCTTGAAATGGCGAAAGTTGAATTTTTGGGAAGATTTACCGCAGGGTTGACTTTTTGATATCGGGGTCAAAATTTGATTTTGGAAATTTGAATAGGTTTGTTATGTCATTTATGACTTGTGTGGAAAATTTGAGGTCAATCGGACGTGATTTGATAGGTTCCGGCGTCGTTTGTAGAAATTGGAAGTTTCAAAGTTCATTAGGCTTGAATTGGGGTATGATTCGTGGTTTTAGCATTTTTTGATGTGATTTGAAGGCTCGACTAAGTTCGTATGATATTTTAGGACTTGTTGGTGTATCTGGTTGAAGTCCCGAGGGTCTCGGGTGAGTTTCGGATGGTTAATGGATCAAATTTGGACTTAGAACAATTGAAACTTGTTGCTGCCTACTGATGCAATCACACCTGCGGAAATTGGCTCGCAGGTGCGAGCTCGCTGAAGCTAGCTTGGCAAGCGCAGATACGGGCAGGGGGTTGTGAGTCAGTAGTCGCAGGTGCGAGGGAATTTCCGCAACTGCGTGATCGCAAATGCAGACGGATGGGCACAGAAGCACAAAGCTTCGCAGAAGCGGACTGAGCCTCGCAAAATGCGATCCCACAGAAGCGTCTTAGAGGACGCAGAACCGGAGGCAGTGGAGGCCTTGGCAAACCGTATAAGCGGTTGGTTTCTCTCACCAGCGAGACCGCAGAAGCGGCTAAGTGAGTCGCAGGTGCGGAACCCCTGGACAGTATACATTTCAAAGGGGTTCCGAGTTTTGCCATTTTTGGACTTTCAAGCACGGTTTTTGGGGCGATTTTTAGAGATAATTCACGGAAAACCTGAGTAAGTCACTTGTAATAATTTCTACTCCATAATATTGAATTATCATCCAATAATCCGACTAGATTACGTGTTTTTGAGGTGTAAATCGGGAATTTGAACCTAGGGATTTGGAAATAAGATTTGATGATTTGGAGGTCGAGTTGATGTCAGAATTTGGTAAAATTTATATAGTTAGACTCGTGGTTGAATGGGCGTTCATATTTTGTAACTTTTGTCGGGAACTGAGACGCTATGTTTGAGTTAAATTTTGAATTTTGTTGGAAAATTCATAATTTCATATGGAATTAATTCCAATAAATTGTATTGACTGAATCGAATTAGTTATGACTAGATTCGAGGCTTTCGGAGACCAATTCACAATGCAAGGGAATAGCGGAGTAAGAAATTACACGATTTGAGGTAAGTAACACTTCTAAACTTGGTTCTAAGGGTATGAATCCCCGATTTGGTGTTATATAAATTGTTTGGAGGTGACGCACACGATAGTTGACGAGCGTGTGGACGTGCACCATTGAAATTGTGACTTGAATAAATTCTGTGAAGTTGTAAAATTAAAGAATCATGTTATTATCTGAACATTTTTCACGTGTTAGAAAAATTGAGTTGAGACTCATATTAAAGTTCATGATTGGGCTACGTGCCGATATTTTGGGACCCACATGGTCGTGTTGCTGTTGAATTTAATTGTTTTAAAATGTACATTTCATACTCAGTCATGTTCATCCATTGTNTTGGACATGGATCTTGTCTGTATCATTTATATTTGGGGATAAATATCCCCAGGACTATATTGGCCTTATACAGTACTGAGTGACTGACTGGCAGTCGATGTGTATATATATAAGGGATGGAATATCCCTGGGCTGGATTGGCCATAAACAGTACCGAGTGACCGAATGATTTGCGACCAGTAGTACATGAGGTCTTTCCACTGAGATGTCATATTCCTAATATCATGCAATATTGATCTATTTTTGCTTGTACTGAGTTTAATTGTTAAACTTGAAAGCATGCCTACATTTCTATACCATTATTTATGTACTGGACTGTACCTGCAGAGCTCGTCACTACTTTCAGCCCAGAGGTTAGTCTTGTTACTTATTGTATTGGTTGTACTCATACTACACTCTTCACCTCATGTGCAGATTCAGATGCTTTCAGACACGGCGACTGTTAGATCTCAAAGTGCTATTAGTTGGAGACTATCAAGGTGGCTGCCTGGAGTTCGCTGACCTTGACTTTCTTTCTTTCAGTTATTGTACTGTTCTATACTTTCAGACAGTGTTTTATCAGTCAGACTTTATATTCATATTAGATGCTTATGTACTCAGTGACACCGAGTTTTGGGAGTGTTTATATTTGTATTTGTGAGATTTCTTTCGCTGAATTTAAATATTATGTTTTCAAACTTAAAGATATGGTGGTTTATTGAGATTGTCGGCTTGCCTAGTATGGAGATAAGCGCTATCACGACATGTGAGATTTTAGGTCGTGATAAGTTGGTATCATAGCCTAGGTTACATAGGTCTCACAAGCCATGAGCAGGTTTAGTAGAGTCTTGCGGATCGGTACAGAGACGTCTGTACTTATCTTCTAGAGGCTGCTGAACCCTTAGGAAAATTTCACTTTCTTATATTCTGTCGTGTGGATTTGTTGATTCCGGAAACTAAATTTATGTTATTTTATTCTCTCACAGATGGTAAGGATACGTACTATCAGATTGGATGGTCCGGGGCCGAGGTAGAGGTCGAGGTGTAGCTCGTACAGCAGTTGGAGCAGCACCTGTAGCACCACCAGTTGCTCCAGCTCAGGAGCAAATTCCAGATATAGCTGAGCCGATAGGACTATCTCAGGCACCAGCTGTGCCCATTGTGATTCCAGGCCTTCAGGAGGTTGTGACCTAGATATTGACAGTTTGCACTGCCCTTGCTCAGGTGGTTTCGTCTCAGGACGCACCTACCACTTCTCAGGCCGGGGGAGGTACTCATACCCCTATTGCTCGTACTCCAGATCAGGTAGTGTAGGGACTTCAGATACCGGGGGCACTACCAGTCCAGCTAGTTGCAGTTGCTCAGGCCCCGGTAGTCCCCGTTATTATAGATGATGAGCAGAGGAGACTTGAGAGATTTGGGAGGCTTCTACCTCCATCATTTAGCGGTGCTGAGTTAGAGGGTGCTCAGGGTTTTCTGGATAAGTGCCAGTAGATGCTTCGGACAGCGGGTATTCTGGAGACCAGTGGGGTCTCGTTCACTACTTTTCAATTTTTTTGGGGCTGCCTTCAGATGATGGGAGGCTTATGAGAGGCGCAGGCCGATCGGTGCAGCACCACTTACATGGTAGGAGTTCTACATTCTCTTTTTGGAGAAATTTGTACCACAGTCTCGCAAAGAGGAGTTGTGCAGACAGTTTGAGCAGTTGCGTCAGGATGGCATGTCTGTGACACAGTACGAGATGAGATTTTTTGAGTTGGCTCATCACGTTGTTTGGTTGGTTCCCACTTATAGGGAGAGGATTAGGAGGTTCATTGATGGCCTCACATATCTACTGCGGTTACTTATGACTAAGGAGAGGTTATCTGGTGCCACTTTTGATGAGGTGGTTGACATTGCTCAGCAGATAGAGGTGGTTCGTATCCAGGAGCGTGGTGAGAGAGAGGCCAAGAGGCCTCGAGGTTTGGGTGGTTCTGGTGGGGTACCTTCTGGAGGGCAGTCCTACCATAGCAGGGGTCGTCCTCACACACACGCTTAGACGGGTCGTCCAGTTCCCCGTGGTGCATCATCCAACCATGGTTCATACAGTTCTCATCAGGTCCAGTCATCTCGCAGTGTCCTTCCACCCCAGAGTATGCCCCGTGCTCCTTTAGTTTAGGGATCATCTGTACCAGGTTCTTCTGGTAGTTATTTTGGTTCTCGAGGTCCGCCTCAGAACTTGCCACCATTCTTTGAGAGAGATTGCTATGAGTGTAGAGAGCTGGGTCATGT